GCTTCCGCCTGTCAACACTCGCTGTCTGTGGGATTCGTGAGGCCCTTGGGGACCTGCATGGTTGTGCCATCCTCTGCGGATGCTGGGCTGCTCTAAGCCTCAGTTTCTCACCTAAGAAATGGGTGGGGTGGTGGAATGAAACAGACCTGCCCCTACGTGAGCTGGTTAGTGAGGGTCCCCAAAGTGTATGCCTGTTGTTGTTTTGGGTGAAGGTGGAAGAGGTACCGTTTGGGGGTGGCTGGGTTCCCTGAGGCAAGTTGTGGCCACCCTGCCAGGATTTAGTGACAAACAATCCTTAAAGGGACTGTAACCCTGCTCCTGCTCCCTGCAGGATCCTGGCATGCCTCCTTCAGGGTATGAGCAGATAGGATGTATGGTCTCCCCTTCCCTCTCCAGGAAGAATTCTAGGAACCTCCGGTGGGAGCTGGGGTGATAACAGGTCTGAGCCGCGGACAGGACATGTTTGGTTGTGGGGAGGGCATCTGAGCTTCAGTGTGCAGTACCTCAGCCCCCCGGGAGCTCTGGGTTTTATTTCTCTGGGTTTCTTTTAATTGCTAGTCAAGGAGCCCTCTCCTCCCACCGGAGGGGCAGTCTCTGGAGGAGGGCAGAGGGTGGGACAGCCAGTTTTCTTTACTCTTCCCAGTCTCTGCCATCCTGACTGTTCCTGTGTGAGGCCAAGCCTGAATTCTGAGTGCTGAGCTCTCTGTGGGGTGCACTTGGTGGAGTGGTGGGGGTAGCTGGCATCCCCTGGGCCCCTGGAGGGAAATATGATTCTCCAAGTGCGCAGGAGAGAAACTGAGGCTGAGAGAGGTCAAGTAACCTCACTCATTTATTTATCCAGGGCCCCTGTGCCAGGCCTGGGACTGGCACTGCCCATGAGGAGGTGAATGAAAGAGTCTCTTTCCAGGGGAGCTTGAAGCTGGATGAGAGCTTTGGGAACAGCTGAAGTTCCTGCCTTTGAGATCCTCTGGCCTTAATTTAAAATGCTGTGAGGTTTCCAGGGAGAGATCCCTGGGGGTGGGCTGGTCCTCACATGGTGGTGGTGTCAGTTTGCTCAGCACCAAGTCTGGGGTATGGGCTTCACTGCCATATGCAAGTATTTAGTCCTTTCACCCACCCAGGGACATAGTCATTTTCCCTACTTATGGACAAGAAAGTGGAGTCACATGGCTCACCATTGGGGGAGACAGAGTTTAAATCAGGTCTGTCTGATTCTTAATAGTAACAATGATAATAATACCTTTTACTCAGTATTTATTGGATGCTTACTATGTGCTGACCAGGGTGCTCAGAACTTTGTATTAACTAATTTAATCTTTTTTTTTTTTAAATTCTCACCCGAGGATATTTTTTCCATTGCCTTTTCAGACAGAGTGGAAGAGAGAGAGAAAGAGAGAGAGAAACATTGATGTGAGAGAGACACATCAACTAGTTGTCTCCTGCATGCACCCTGACTGGGGCCAGGGATCGAGCCTGCAACCGAGGTATGTGCCCTTGACTGGAATAGAACCCAGGACCCTTTAGTCCAAGGGCCGACTCTCTAACCGCTGAGACAACCGGTCAGGGCTGACTAATTTAATCTCAACGATAACACTATTCAATGGGTACTACTATTATCCCCATTTAAAACATGAGAAGTTAAAAGCAAAGAAAGGTTTAAGCATTTGCCCAAAGTCACACAGCGAGGTGCTTGCAGAGCTGGGATTTGAATAGGGCCAATTGTGTTGTTACCATAAGGATGCTGGGGTGATCAGTTAGGATCTGTTTTGGCTGCAAAAGACAGAAGTCCCCCACCCAATAGTAGTTGGTTTAAACAGAAGTTTATTTCTCATTTGAGTGAAGACCAGGGGTGAGCAACACAGGGTTTCTATGTCATAACCCAAGGTGGCTGCTCCAGCTCCACTCATTACATCTGCATCTCAGACAGCAAGAGGCTCGAAGGGATGAAGAGGGACGTCCTTCCTTTTAAGAACAATTCCCAGAAGTCTCAGGAGAGCTCTCTGTTTACATGCTGTTCGGCAGAATCCAGTCACATGACCACATCTAGCTGCTGGGAAATCATGTGATAAGCTGAAAACTAGGGTTCCCCACTCTCAAAATAAAACTGGACCTGGACAGTTGCTAAAACAGTAAAAACAGATTTTATTCAGGAATACTGCAATAGGGGAAAGAAACCTGTGTGGAACTGAACTCCAAATACTGCATGGGCCAACTTGGTTTATAGCCAAGGGGCAGGATGGGTCAGTGGATGAAAAGTTGCTAAGAGGTAACATCAAGGGTACAGGGGATTCTGGCTAAACTGACCTAACGAGTCTTTGAGAGATCATCAGACATCTGGGGGAGAACTGAGGAACCCGATCAGATATGCGGGCGACCAGGTATCAGGCTGGGAGACTCTTGTCAAAATGACTTGGCAGGATATTTGCTAAAACTGGATTTTACAGGGAAGGGCACAGATGGGCCTAGGAGAAGGTTCAGGAGTCTGAATAGAGTCTGGTGAAGCAAATAATCTGTCAACACACAGGAAGAAGGGCTAGTGAGTTCCAGGACAGCTGGGTCTCTCCTGCACTCTGGATGCCTCCTAGGACACTGTGGCACCTGCCATCGGGGGGGGGGCGGTCACTGGGCATCAGGCCCAACACCCTGTGTGAGCTACCCAAAGCTGTCAGGTAGTAAAAGAGAGGGGGCTGGAGCCCATGGCACCTGTGCCCTCCCCTCTCTTGACCTGGGGGAAGCCAGTCAGTGGGTGCTAGGTTCTGCCAGACTGGAACTCCCAGCCCACGTATCTGCCACAGAGGTCCAACAGAGAACAGTTCCCATAGGTGGTGTGGGAGTTCCTGACAGGCCAGGACAGCTGGCAGTGGGCAGGGGCGGGGTGACCCTGCGTGGAGCTGTCCCCTCTGCACTCCGTTCTCTTTCTTGGCGAGGGGTGGTGGGGGAGGACAGATAAGAATCATGGGATTGTCTTTTGTAATTATGAAATATTTAAGACTATAAACAGTGTAGAGAAAGCATAGCCCACGTCCAGGCACTTACTACAAATCTTTAAAAATAAACAAAATAACCCTCTCCTGCTGCCTACAGACTCATTTCATCCTGGAGGCTAAGGAATGTGGCCCACCTAGTTAAGTGTGGGAACCTGGGATGTAAACTGTCCCCAACCAAAGCCCCTTTCTCTCTCGGGAGCCATCATCCAGCCCTGTGTGTTCCAGTTTGCTGGCTCTCAGGAGGGGAAGCAGTGCCAGGCACTGAAGTGGGCACTTTCTGCTTATTTCCTGGGACCCCAAGGTGTGAGGCCACATACTGACTCAGGCCACGTGGAGCGTCAGTGGGAACCCAGGCCAGTGAGCTGCTGGCAAGGATGTGGAGTCCATGGGGCACTGAAAAGGGCCTTGCCCAACGTGATAGAGAGGGCCTGGGTCCTGGCATTGGCTCCAGAGTGTCCAGCCTGCACTCTTTGGCAGTCATCACTTAAGTATGCTCAGGGGCTGTGGTTTTGAGGTGCTCTGACGGTTTGTGGGCCATGAGTGAGAAACTGAGTCCTGGTAGTTGTGTGTCAGGGGAGCAGCTGAGCCTTCTCCACGGACGGCGAGGGGGGGGATGGACTAGAACTAAATGAGGCATCTGGGACCAAAGGATCCTGTGCTGGGAGACTGGCAGGGCACCCTCAGATAGGTCAAGTCCTCCTCCTATCCCTTCCTGTCCCATCCGCATAAGAGATGGGAATGGGTTGGACATCATTGCTCTTACTGAGGGGACACCAGCAGGAGGGCCTGGGTGAGGGGCTGAGCTGTTTGGAGACTGGCTGAGGCTAGAGGCCATGGTGTGAGGCCATGGTGTGGGGACCTCCACCCAGACCCCCTGAGGAGTGAAAGAGGCCAGGTGTTCCCTCTAAAACCTCCAGAACGCAGAGAAGGGGCAGGACACGGTGAGCTGGGAGTTGGCCGCTCACCTCTGCCCCTGCCTTGTCCTGCCCCACAGGTGGGTGCTATGGAATACGGCGAGAAGCTGGCCCGGTTCCGGCAGGCCCACCTCAACCCCTTCAACAAGCAGCTTGGACAGAGGGCTGGCGAGGAGGCCCCAGACATCGCTTCTGAAGGTGGGTGCGGGGGGAGGTCTGTGTGGGCAATGCGACCACTCACACCAGCACCCACCCTCCCTGGTTTCTGCAATGGAGGGTGCTGGCTTCCCCCATAGCTGGGCACCATGCTGGCCTCTTCTCTTCACTTGTTCCTGTGCAAACAGGGCAGGGCCAGGCTCCCCTTGGCCCCTCCTGTGGGCTCCCTGAACCCCTCCTGTGGGCTCCCTGAACCCCAGGACTCCTTCCGACCCCTAGCCACCCAGCCTCCCCCTGGGGAAGAGGCAGACTGACTTTTCTCTCTTGCCGTCACACCTGCACACCGCTCGCTCCAGAGACCCTGCCTGAGCGGTCCCCCGGGGAGCCGGAGTTCCACTGTGCCGAGCGTGTGATGGATCTCGGTCTGTCTGAGGACCACTTCTCCCGCCCTGTGGTAAGGGTCAGGGTCTGCAGGAGGGTGTGGGGGGGCACTGGTGAGCTTCCAAGGCGTGAGGAGCCAGACATTTCCTTGTCACTCAACCCTCAGGCAGAGGGGCCATCTCAGCCAGGGTTCTTCAGATCTGAGGCCCACGTGACACCTTCTGCCAAAACCAATTTGAGGGCTGGTAGAAATGGGTTGGACCTGGGGTTTGGGAGCTGGGGGCTGCTATTCTCATGTAGGGCTGTTCCTCTCTCTACACTCCAGGTTCTTGTGAAGCAAATGTGAGGACTGACTTCATCTGGGGTCCTGTAGATATGTTGCAGGGTGAGAGGGAGGGAGAGAGAGAAACCCCCTACCCACCACCCCACCGCCCATTAAGCTCTGCATGGCCACTCTTGTCTGTTCTATATTTTGTTGCATGAAAACCTTATTTAAGCCCTGGCCAGTGTGGCTCAGTTGGTTAGGTGTCGTCTACATCACCAAAAGGTTTCTGGTTTGATTCCTAGTCAGCCACATGCCCTGGTTGCGGGCTCGATCTCCGTTAGGAGATGTGCAGGAGGCAGCCAATCTATGTTCCGCTCTCACATCAATGTTTCTCTCTCTCCCCCTCTCCTTTCCTCTCTAAAAATCAATAGAAAAATCTTTTTAAAAACCACAAAACCTTCTTTATAATAAAAAATAAAATGGCTCTAATGATTTTTAAACAAAAAGCTTGAAAATTGTTTAGTCTTATGCAAACTCCAATTTTTACTTGAGAGAAGCATTATAATAACATTCAAATGTAACTTCAATAAAAAAAGATTCATCTCAAAGCCCCAAGTTCTAGTTAACTTTTCATTTGGTATGTGGCTTTAAGCTTTGCCAATACAGATACGTATTTCATTTATGTGTTTTGTATCCTTACGGTAACATTTTCCAGGCCCTCCTCTGAGACATACACTAGAGGAGGGGTCTTGCCTCCTCCCTGGCTGGCCTTCTGGAGCCAGCACACTGCAGGGGGATGGCTCTGAGGGCAGCAAAAGCCCCAGCTCCCAGCTCTCAGACCCCCAGCTCCCTTGCTTCCCCAGTGGCAGCGCTGTCCTGAGTCCAGGGGCTTTGCTGTGTCACTGTGAGGTGCTGAGGCTGAGGGTGAGTGGCTGCCTGCGCTGTCTCTGGGGGCCTGGCAATTAAGCTGGAGGCCACTTCCTCTCCTTGATGACAGGGCGAGTGTCATTTCCCCAGCTTTATTGAAATAGCAGGGCCAGAAAAGTGACTGGATTTCTAAAAGAAGGAAGTAGTGTTTTGAAAAACATCCTGAATTAGGTCTTCAGAGGCCCCAGGGTAGATAGGTCCAACTGGGGGTCAGGTGGTGTGGGGTCATTCCTACCTGGGTTGCTAACTTCTCTGGCCTTGAACAAGTTCTTGACCCCTTCTACGCAAGCAGAGGGTGGGGGAGGTCTGCTCTGGACCTAACTGTCCATGAGGATGGACCTGGCCTAGACAGGAGATCTGTAAGGCAGGCATCTGACTTGTGTGTACACTCCCCCCACCCCACCCCAGGGTCTGTTCTTGGCCTCTGACATCCAGCAGCTGCGGCAGGCCATCGAGGAGTGCAAGCAGGTGATTCTGGAGCTACCTGAGCACTCAGAGAGGCAGAAGGATGCTGTTGTGAGGCTCATCCACCTCCGGCTGAAGCTCCAGGAGCTAAAGGTAGGGGCTGGCCCAGCCCACAATAGAGGCAGCTGGAACTGAGTGGGAACCTGGAGTCCTGGGGTAGCCTCTGGCTCCCTCCCAGGGGCTGAGGCAGACACTACCCAGAAAGGCAGTAGAGAGATGGGCTCTCACTCCACATGCAGACTACTTCTCTATCAGTCTGATCTTAATTGTCCAGTCCTGGGTGATGTGCCCACCCATTGTAGCAAATGGGTAAGGTAAGTCACGCTTTGAACCACATGACTCAGATTGGGAGGTGAGGCTTCCTGAAGGTGACACTGTAGGGATAATGGGTCCTGGCAGCCAAAAGCCACATGTCCATAATGTAGTTCTGGAGCCTGTGCATCTGGCTTGGCTGCACCGTGTTCCTGCACTGGCCTATGAGTTCCTGGGAATTTAGAAAGTGGAGTATTCATTAGGATGTAGGACTCCAAAATACAGGGGCTTAAAGAAATTAGATGTGTCATTTTACTCATAGAAATGCCATAGGTGGTCCAGGGCCCATATGGCAGCTAATGGTAATGGGGACCCCAGGCCCTCCTTTTCTGTTACTCTGACAGTCCCTGGGGGGAATCCAAGGTGGTCCCACTCCCCATCTGAGGCTGCACTGAGCCAGCAGAAGATCATGTCACTCCTGCTCACACGCCCTTGGCCCTAGGTATAGCACCAGCATGCAGGGGGTGATGGGAAGGTGGTCCAGGTCTGACTGATCACTGTGGTGTTCTGTTTCTAAAAAGAAAAGGGGGTGACATTGGGAGAAAATCTGTTACAAATGGTGTCTAGAAGTAAGTTAAGGGGCTGGTGTGCAGGGAAAGGAGCTGCAAGCCTGGCTCACCTGTGACCCCTCCCTGGGCCTCTCTCCAGGACCCCAATGAAGATGAGCCCAACATTCGAGTCCTCCTGGAGCATCGTTTCTACAAGGAGAAGAGCAAGAGTGTCAAGCAGACTTGCGACAAGTGTAACACCATCATCTGGGGGCTCATTCAGACCTGGTACACCTGTACAGGTGGGCAGAGACCCAGACAGACTTCTCTGGGTGGGCAGTCAGGTCCCCAGGGGGCGCAGAGACCACACAGGTTTGCTGCTGTGTCTGGGTTGTATTCAGGTGAATTAATTATCGACCGTGTACTTGATGTTCACCAAACCCTTGACATGCATAAGGGATGAAAGGCCCAGCCTCCACCTTCACCAGGCTCACATCCACATTTGCATTTTCAGTATGGTGGCCACTAGCCACACATGGCTATTCAAACTTAAATTTAAATGGATTAAAATAAATATTTAGTTTCTCAGATGTACTATCCACATTACAAGGGCTCAGTAGCCACAGGAGGGCAGTGCAGACAGAACGCTTCCATCGTTGCAGAAAACTCCATTGGGTGAGAAATAATATGTAAAGGTCACAATGTGTTAGATGACATAGCACAGTGAAGAAAAACAGAGAAGGGAAAAAGCATGTGTCAGGGAGTGGGGTGAGTGTGACTTTAGAGTGGAATGAAAAGGCATCACATACATTTAAGCAGAAACTTCGAGGTCAGAGAGCAAGCCAGATATATATCTGGGGAACAATCTTCCTTCCAAGGGGTGTCTGTACAAAGGCCCTGTAGTCAGTGTGTGCGGCGTTTTCAATGAGTAGCAGAGAGCAACGTGGCTGGAGCATTGTGTCTGAGAGGAGGTGTGGTTGATGTGGGCTCAGGTTGCTGGGGCCTTTTTGTGAGTGAGCCGGTGGCCTCCAACAGGTGCTGCACATACTTAGGTTGTAACAGGGTCATCTGGCTGCTGAGCTGAGCATGGCCTAAAGGAGAGATGCACAGGTGGAGGGGAAGGGGGATGGCACTCCGACCAGGGTGGGGCGGTTAGGGGTGAGAAGTGGCCACTAGCCAAAGAACTAGCTGAAGGCCTGGAAATGGGTGCAGGAGAGAGGAGTTGGGTGACTTCCCAATTTTCAGTCTCAGCAGGTGGAGTGACAGGGTTCTAAAGCCTGAGCCGGGACTGCTGCTGGGGTTGGTTTGGTGGGACAGAGTGGGTTTGAGCCCTGCAGGCGGCTAGGCGGAATGGCGGGTTTGAGCCTGGGGTTGGGGCGTCTGCACGTGCCTCGGGGCGGGCTCTGGTGGGGCCAAGGGACCTGCAGTGAGTTCTTGGATTGGCCTGGAAATCGGAGGAGCCCCGGGGGCCTGGCCACTGCGGGCGCCTGGGCCACGCCCGCCCCTGACAGGCCCGTTGTTGCGCCCCCAGGGTGTTATTACCGCTGCCACAGCAAGTGCCTGAACCTCGTCTCCAAGCCCTGCGTGCGCTCCAAAGTCAGCCACCAGGCNGTACGAGCTCAGCATCTGCCCCGAGGCTGGGCTGGACAGCCAGGACTACCGGTGCGCCGAGTGCCGGGCCCCCATCTCCCTGCGTGAGTGCGGGGGCAGGCCGCGGGCGGCGGCTCTGGGCGGGGTGACGGCGGCAGCCGCGTGGGAACAGCC